CATCACCATCACCATCATCGTGGGCACCATCGCAATCATCGGTGTCATCAACATCGCCATCGTCAGCGTCGTGCCTCTGTCCCCCCCGTGCCCACCAATTCGGCACGTAGCCCCATAGGGAGCCCCACCTAAGGCCCCGATGGGAAAGTTCACATCGGCCCCGCCCCATTTCGGCACACTCCTCACACGTTTCGTGACCCCATAGGGAGCTCCACCTAAGGCCCCAATGGGTTTGGTCGCAGGACGGCCCCGCCTCATTCCGGCACAGCCATCACACTGTTCGTGGCCCCTCATGGAGCTCCATCTGAGGCCCCAGGGGCAAAGTTCGCATGGAAGCTCCGCCTCCTTTCGGCGCACCCCCCACACGTTTCGTGGCCCCATAGGGAGCTCCACCTAAGGCCCCAATGGGAAAGTTCGCATGGCGGCCCCGCCCCATTTCGGCACAGCCCTCACACGTTTCGTGGCCCCATAGAGAGCTCCATCCAATGCCCCAGTGGGAACGTTCACACGGCGGCCCCGCCTCATTTCGGCCCAGACCTCACGTGTTTCGTGGCCCCATAGGGAGCTCCACCTAAGGCCACAGTGGGACAGTTCGCATGGCGCCCCCGCCCCATTTCGGCGCAGCCCTCACACGGCTCGTGGCCCCATAGGGAGCTCCACCGAAGGCCCCAGAGGGACAGTTCGCATGGCGCCCCCGCCCCATTTCGGCACACCCCTCACACGTTTCGTGGCCCCGTAAGGAGCTCGAGCTCATGCTTCAAGTGGCCCTAAGTTTCACCGAAGCCCTCAAGTGGCCCCAAGCTCTCCTCCTTCCTCTTCTCCCTCCTCCCCCCGCACCGCACCCATTTCGGCAGACCTCTCACACGCTTCGTGGCCCCATAGGGAGCCCCACCGAAGGCCACACTGGGAAAGTTCGCATGGCGGCCCCGCCCCATTTCGGCACAGCCCTGACACGTTTCGTGGCCCCATAGGGAGCTCCACCTAAGGCCCCAGAGGGAAAGTTCGCATGGCGGCCCCGCCCCATTTTGGCACACCCCTCACACGTTTCGTGGCCCCATAGAGGGCTCCATCTAAGACCCTAGTGGGAAAGTTCGCATGGCGTCCCCCGCCTCATTCACGATCACCACCACCAGCATCACCATCGTCGTCGTCATCATCATCACCAGCATCAACAACATCATCATCATCACCACCATCATCATCATCAGCATCAGCTTCAGCTTCAGCATCATCATCAGCATCACCAACATCATCATCATCATCATCATC